GTAATTTACTTTGGTAAAAGATCCTTACGCAATCAAATTGTGCAAGCCTATTATAAGAAGAGATTTCAAATTGCTTCACAAGATGTCATAATTTTTAAGGAGATCCCATCTAAAATTTTAAGAAGAAGAAAGGAGTTTGCTTTTCTAGTAAATGAACTTAAAAAGAGAAAAATTCTATTCAGATGGGATATTCCGACTGGAATGGTGGTGAACTACCTGGGGACATGTCATAGACTTAATACTGTTTCTCAAGCAAAAGATTTTTATACTTCGGTCCTGGGGGTATGTGCATCGCCATCTATTAGGTCTCAACAAGTCCAGATTGAGGAGCAGAAGACAACTTGTGTAGCACATAACTCCAAAGAAAAGCAGCAACAGAAGAAGGTTAAGGAAGTTTCATATTCAGCGGTCTCTGAATCTCTGGGAGATGTTGGACCTACAAAGTCTTTGGAGCAATCTTCAAGGGTGGCTCTGGGAGAAGTTAGACCTACAAAGTCTTTGGAGCAATCTTCAAGGGTGGAATTGCTGCCTGAAATCGAAATTGGGAAATTTCAGCTTGAGGGGCACCAACAAGAGAGGAACGGGCAGAGGATAACTTGTACAACTTACAACTGTGAAGATCAACACAAGGAGGAATTCACTGAGGAAGTTTTACAGGTATCGGTCCCTGAGACTTGTGCAACATATAAATGTAAAGAAAAAGTAACATATAAATGTAAAGAGAAAGACCAACAGAAGAAGGAGGTTGAGGAAGTTTCACAGGTACTGATTCCTGAGCTGGTGGGTCAACCAGGACTTACAAACTCTTTGGAGCGATCTTCAAGGGCAGAATTCCACGCATTTTTTTCGATGCTTGCGGGCAAGAGAGACCGATATGGATTGTGCTTATAGTAGATGCAACTGGCTATTAGACAGAAGATTATGGATATTGAATGAAAATTTTAGATAAGAAGTTTGTGTTTATAGTGGGTGCAACTGGTTATTGGACAGAAAATTATGGACATTGAATGAGAACTTTAGACAAGAAGTTTACTATTGAGATTGTGGGAGAAGTAAAACTTATATCGTTTTTGGAAAATGTCTTATGTAATGTCTAAATATGTGTTTTGGGATAATAATATATTTCAGTTTTAAGTTTTAAACCTTTAATGATAATATTGTTTAAACCTGTGTTTTGAAGGGATTATAATTTGTTTATTTCAGTGAGGGGATTCTAATAAATTTGTGTTTCGAAGGGAGTATAATTTGTTTAAGTTTCAAGTAATGCTTAAATTTGGTTTTTAAATATTATTATTAATATTTCTAAGAGAAAATAATTTGCTTAATTAAATGTCTAGATTTGTTTAGGAAAGAAAGTAATGCTTAAATCTGTGTTTTTGGAGAAAGTTTATATAGAATGATGATTGTATTTAGATTTGTTTAGGATTTAAAAGTGTTTCAAGCTTTTAAATATTATTATTAATATTTTTAAGAGAAAATAATTTGTTTAACTAAATGTGTCTAGATTTGTTTAGGATTTTTAAGTTTTTTTTTTTTTTTGGATAGGTGAGAAGATTATGAAGATTGAAGGAAATATGTATTTACTTTAAGTTTTCTAAGAGTATTTAGTTTTAATGGTACAACAAAGGTTTATATGTTTATTTTTTTGTATTAGGATAAAGAAAGAGGGAGAAATTAGATTTTACATTATAGCTATAGATATTCAAAGAAAGTAATGTTTAAATTTGCGTTTTTGGAGGGAGTTTATATAGAATGATGATTGTATTTAAATTTGTTTAGGTTTTAAAAGTGTTTTAAGTTTTTTTCTCAATTAAGCCTGTACTCAGCTCTGGGAAGTCTAGGGGAGGGTTTGGGAGGTTGGGGAGGAGGGGGGTGAGGTAGGGTTGGGGGGGGTATGGGAAGGGGATTTGTTTTTGTAAAAATTTAAAAATTTTCAATAAAAAAAAAAAAAAAAAAGAAGATGCTGGTAAGGCTCTAAATCAAAGATAATATTTTTTCATCTTTGGTGGGAATATGATAAAAGTATCAGAGTTTTGGAAAAATGTTTAAAGAAATGTGTTACATAACTAATAAAGGCAGTTAAAAATAAAATAAACAAAAAAATTGGTTCTCTCCAAAGCTAGATTTGCCAGAAATATTTGATGGCCACAATAAAAAATTACAAAGTAAAACAGCCTTTAAGTTTTACATATAGCAGCCAAATTACCGGTAGTTGTTGCATAACATGGTAAAGATCCAGATAGTTCAGTGGATAGATAGCATAGTAAGATCTGGTCGTGAATCGTTGTTATATAAGGAATGATGGAATTTTAAATAAATAGTAACCTAAAAATAGTTTGTATCCAATTTTATGGACCTATTAAAGTCTATCTAAAATTCAAATAAAATTTATATATACCGTACATAATTTGTCTTTGCCTTTAATTTCTTTGGTTTACTATGTCTTACTGCTTTTCTGTGCTTAGCATAAGAATGCCTGGCATGAAAGGGAAAAGGATGAAGGAAGGTCAAGTATTTAGGTAGGTAGGTATGAAGTCCTGTATACAGTGGTGGGGTTCAAATATGTGAACAACCGGTTCTCTGTGTGGATGCTGCTTCTGGAAGTCCATTCTGGACCTGGGCAACAAAGAATTAGCTACCGGTTCTGCTGAACTGGTGTGAACTGGCTGAATCCCACCACTGCCTGTACATCTGGGGACACTAGGATGGAGAAATTATATCTTTCATTCTGCTGGCTATTACTTCCCTTCTTTAATATTCTCAGGATTGTTTTGAAGATATGCCTCACCAGTTATGTGCCCTCTACTGGCCTTTCTTTCTGCAAAAAGCCCGAGCCACAGTGTGCCATGCAGCCCCGGAACCCGGCACACCAAGAAACCAGAGGTGTGGTGCAGCAAGCAACTCCAGAATTCTGGCCCTGCTTGCCATGCTTCAGCAATGAGGCTTCTTGGTGTGCCACAGCTCTGGAATTGCTAGAAGTCCTAGGTGTGGCATGCCAAGAAGCCCGAGCTGCAGTTTGCTAAGAAGTCCATGAGCACAGCAATCAGCCCATGAGCCGTGGCACAGCTCCTACTTAGGAGCCCATATCCACCTATACCCCCTCGCTTCGCTGGGTCAGTCTCACCTATGACTCTGCCACTGCAGGAGCAGTCTTGCAAGAGCTTTGCCTCCTAGAGTGGCCTTTGCATCCCAGCCCGATGTTAACCCCTGCAGAAGGCTTCTGCAATGCCTCCCCATGAATGGCCAGGGTGATGAGCCCAGTGCAGGAGAAAGGCAGGCAAAGATGACAAAAAGCTTGGGGTGGTAGTGGAAAGTGATCATATAGGCAGGATCAAATGTTTCACTTGACAACAGGGTGCTGCATCTTAAATTTGAAGACTGGTGACAAGTATTTTTTCAGCACCATAATTTTGAAGTCGCTGAATGCTTGGACATTAAGCAATGTCTACCTATATTCCTAACATCCTTATAGTCCATGATATGTAGAAATGCAGATGAGACTACATATGTTGTGATTTTTTTTTCTTGCAGATTTGTTGACAAGTATCTTTGTACTTGTAATAAGAGTGATAGTAAAGCACCAGGGGTTTAATAAGACTCCAGGATAACAGTATTCTAGACCAGGCATGAGATCTGATGCCTGTTTTAGACTCAGTGTTGTATTGGAAAAAATATAATGGCCCTAAGAAAATTTGATTGGATGTATTCATAGATTACAAAATGAGAGACGGACCTATTTGAATTCCATACTGTACATACATCAGTTGTGCAATTGCTTTGGCAGGAAAATGTTTAACTGCAGCCAGGCAAGTGTACTTCCTTGTGTCCTTTACAATCATAAGATGGGCTTGGTGATCTTTTCTGCTTTTGAAAAAACAGCCAGTTTGGGCTGTAATTTTCCTATTCTTTTGAAAGACAAAGCTATTTATATTGTTGAACTTGTTCAGCTGTGTTATTTTTAACTGATCATTTGTATTTCTGTTTTATTTAAGGAAACGAAAATGTTGGTTTTATCATAATAGTTACTCATCTTTATAATAGCTTGATAGTTTTCAGTGCATGCAGTGCATGCTGTTTGGGGGAATATTAATACATCATCTACATACATGAACATTGTGAATCTTCTATCAGCTAATTTAGGGGCACGAATTAAATCTTTTAATTAAAGAATTTATATAAATATTGAACGAGGCTAATCTATTGTACAACCCTGTTCCACACCTCTTATGTCTTGATGTAATTAGAAAGCTCCCCCTGCTGACTGTTTCTGACTCTTAAGTCTGTCTTCTTGTAGCTTCTTGGCCTTTTGGCTAAGATCAAGTGTCAAAAATTGCCTGTAAATGTTCTTCCACCAAATCTAACAGCAAACTCCATTGTTTTCGTTGGGCGAAGCCGACATAATAACGTTAATAATGGAAATGACTGAGGCTGATAGTACATAATCTCATTCATGCTCTCCCCAACCTACTTTTTCTCAGTTCTGAAAAGCTGCAGCCCCAGGAGGAAATCAGATGACGTAATAACAATCAGTCAAAGAGCTCCTCCTCCAAATCCGCCCCACATCAGTTCTTCCTCCTTCCTCCCCTTGTCGACCTCAACATCCGGGTTCTCAAAGCATTATATTAGACTAGGCAGAGTAGAATAAGAGTAAGGATAGTAGAAACAATCAATAGTTTGACTCTCGGCTGCCCGAGAGAGAGAGAGACGGACCGTCTCGACTGCCAGGCGGAGGACGGACGCCGTCTCCCGCTCAGATGAACATAAAATGTTGCAGTTCCCGCGCGAACCCCACCATCATTCGAGGGCGTTCGGGCCCGACGCATGCGCTCTAAACCAAATCTGAGCTCGCTCCCGGTCTCTTCGAAGTTCCCCACTCTGTCGCGCGGAGGGTGGCTGCGCGTGCGCCATCTTCACTCTCTTGTTAGTCCGCCTGCCTAGAGGAGCTGAGCTGAGCTGAGCTGCACGGGGCGGGCGGGCGGGCGGGGGGGGAGGGAGGGAGAAGGAGGAAAAGAAGCGGGGTGTCGTGGGAGGCTGAGCGTGCAGGCAAGCCCGGAGGACGCTGCCGTGAGAAGGAAAGACTGCGGGGAGGGGGCGCGGGAAAGAGAGAGAGAGAGAAGCTGGAGGAAGAGTGAAGGGAGCGGGGCAGGCAGGCAGGAGAGATGAGCGCTCGGTTCCTTAGGAGCAACGAGGAGGAGCAGCAGCAGGAGGAACAGCCCCAGCCTTTGCGGCCGTGGTTGTCGTCGCCGTCTCTGCCGTGCGAATGAACTAAGGCAAAGGCGCTTTCGCCGGCTTGGCTCGGCCCACTCAGTGCTATCCTTCCGACCCCTTTCTGGTAGCCTTCTCTTCTGGCTCGCCTGGACTGAAAGGTAAGCCGCTACGGTGGCTGAGGTCGTGCGAAGGCCTGGGAGAAGGTAGAGGCCGCCGCCCGCCGCCGCCGCTTGGGAACTCGGGGCCTAGAGAAGCGGGAGAAGCGAGAGCCATGACCTGCTTGTACATGTGGGGATTGGGGGGGGGGCGGTATCATTATAATCCCAGAAAGATCACCCCTGCCTCGTTACCAGCTGGCATTTGACGGAGAAGAGATTGATGGACGCTTCACTAAGGGAATTTTGATATGTCAGGGCAGCTTACACTGCTTTTTTGTTGCAGTGGTGCCGGCGGTTTCTCTTCTCCCCTATAGAATCGTATTATTGTTCACCTTAATTGCGCTGTTGTTGCTCGTTAATCACTGGATTGGTATTGTTTTGAACCATGCGTTGCATTGTCATTGATGGTTTATTGCTCTATGCAGACTTTAATAAAGGAATAAACTAAAAGGCCGTACCTTCGAGGCCCACATAAGGATGGACAGCAGAAAAAGATGAAGTTAGGGAATAGAGTGACAAGAGGTAGAACATGCATGCATGCCTTCAGTTTGGGGTGGCTTTCTTCTTCGGTCCCACCCCTTCCTGCTTGTATTTGAAAGAGAAAAATATATAGTCGGTAAGAGGCATGCTATAGTGATCTAAAATGAAATTCTGAAATCTAGTTAGGCATTATCTTGGTTAAGACCAGACAAATATGTACAAACTGCTGCTTCCGTGTATGTGTGAAATATATGTATATTAACTTTATATTAAAAACCACAGATCCAGAATATATTTTAAAATGTGTAGAGAATATAATACATGCAGAGCAGCTTTGCAGATACCATTATTTGCATAGGTTTTTAAAATGTGTGTAGGAGGCATATATATTTTAGAAATTCATATATATGTCTAAAGCACATTTTAGCAACATTCAAATGTGGTACATCTTGCAAAAGTTCTAAATGCATTCAAAGGCAGATTCATTGAGAAGAAAAGCCGGTTCCATTTTAATGTAATACATTTCCAGCTATGCTTTGTATGCTAATTGTTTATGGTGTTTTCCATACATTTGTGGTAGAAAGTTCTTAAATGAGTTTAGACTCCCTTTGTTTTGGATCTGATTTCTCTGTGTTTATTGTTCTTGTCAACTCAGTCCAATGATGACATAGCATGATGTTGTTTCTTTCTCTGGAGAGACAGAAGTGGGCGAAGAACTCATTGTCTGCCAAGCTTTATTAAGCATGATTAAAGTCATACTTTCCCCTCCTGCTGCAAGTGTTCTGTCAATCAGAAAGAGATGACTGTTTATAAGATTCCATATATATCCTAATAATATAAGATTTCTGCTTGATCCAATTTAATGAGTAAATTCAAACGTACAATATTTATAAAGCAATGTGCCTTAATTGTTGCCTTATACTTCCTAATTGTATATCTATTACTGCCCCCTTTTTAAAAATGGGAGGAGAAATGCATAAAACAAAAAAATGTAAATGATTTTCCTTGTTTATTATATTTGGCATAGTCAATAGAGGCTGTAGACACCATTATTTTTAGGTGACTGAACATGCCCAATGGGATGTAGATACATTGTAATTCTTTAAAAGCCTGCAAGATACTCTTGTTTTAGCAGTAATTTTGCAGTTTAAGATATTGTACATGTTACTATGGCTTGGTGTAGTCTCTGCTAATGTAATCTGTATTTTTTAATCTACAGCACAATGGTATGTAGATGTGTGGTAATTTATTCTTTAGAACCCTGTTTTAAGAGTAATTCTGTAATTTAGGATACATGTTGCAATGGCTTTATCTTGGCCTAGCAGCTAATATAGTCATTTTAGTCAAATTTTGTGACTTTTATACTAATACAGCCCAAGTACACTTGCATGCATTTAATTTATATTGTGTTCATGTAGCTTTTAGCATTGAGGAGAAAGAAGTCATATTGGAACCCTGAGCTATAGAGGTATTGCTTCATCTTCTCATTCTTAGACTTTATTATATGTAGTTCCTATATCTTAAATATTGTCTTAGCTTTAAAACTGGGGGAAAAAATTAAAAGTTGAGAAAGCTGGAATGCTGAATTATGAAGTTTTACTTTTCTACATCTTGATTATAGAATCTACACAGTTCTGGTACTGACAATTTAAAGAGTTTATTTTTTATAGCGGAGTAAGCTTCAGAATGAATTTTCATATCAGGGTATAGGGCTTGTAGTAGAAAGTATTTTAACCTGTTTTTCAGCTGTTTTTTAAGCTATGCTTTAATTCATGTATTTATATGATTTTATTATGTTGCAAACCACCCAGAGTCACTTAAGTATAGAGCTTAAATAAATAAAATATTAATTTATGTTCTGTATGCTGAAGAAACTCTAAGTGGCTTAATGTCAATGGAGATTCTCAAGTCATTCAGGTCATGGTTGTCTCAAAGGTGCTTTTTTCAAGAGGCAACTGGACTTTCTTATTTTTCTTTAAAGATGTTTCGCTTCTTATCCAAGAAACTTCTTCAGTTCAGAGCTGAAGAAGCTTTTTGGATAAGGTGAAATGTCTTCAAAGAAAAACAAGAAAGTCTAGTTGCCTCTTGAAAAAAGCACCTTTAGGACTAAAGTGGCTTGCAACATATTTTATCCAATTCATATGGCCCACTTATCTAAATGTGATTCTGGATGGCAAACAGAATTTAAAAACTATAAAATATAAAATGCAGGCAGCAGAGAGACAACTCAAATTGCTAAGACTACTGAAAAACAAGTCCCTGTGCACACATGTGCTCCATGTTCAGGTGCAGAACCAAGTCTTTAGGGCCTTATTATGAAAGCGAACAAAGCTATCCTGATCTCTGGAAGAAGAATTAAAGAGATATATTAAAGCATTTATCATGATACATCAGATAAAAAATAAAACATTACTTCTATTTCTAATTACTTATCCAAATGTTTACTGCATGAGAATTGCCTTTACCATTTTCCTACAGAAAAGGGTAGGATTTAACCTGATCTCATGGGCATGCTCTTGGCATGGGAAGGGGATGCAACATCTCAATGCATTTTTCAAATCTCAACTTCCTCCATGGTTACTCATAAAGTGGGTGCCTGAAGCATCCTTTTTCTCAGAACTAGAAGGATGAATGAAGTCTACTTGAAAAAGTTGTAAACATGGCAAGAGAGCCAATTTGATGCAATGGTTAAAAGTATGGGATAGTGATGGCGAACCTTTTAGAGACCAAGTGCCCAAACTACAACCCCAAACCCACTTATGTATTGCCGAGTGCCAGGTGCCCATGGCCACCGGGTGGCCGTGGCTACAGTGGTCATGGCAGATGGGTGGCCGTGGCCAGGGTGGGCATGGTCACCTCAATGTTGCTCCTGGGGAGGGACGCCTGTGGGGGGAGGGCTGGGGGAGATCCAGGGGACTCTGGTGGATGGGGTGGTGGGCAGGAGGCTGGCTCTGTGGGGTGAGGCAAGGCAGGGCGGGGGTGCCATGTCACAGGGCAAGGCGAGGCTGGGGCGGCTGCTGCCTGACACCATCAGCCCCTGCACACAGAGGCCAGCAAACTCATGGGTGCTGGGATGCATCCGGCCACGTGGGACCTCGGCAAGTTAGCGGGTGGCTGGTTGAAGAGGACAGTTGCCATCTCCAGGGCATGGTGTGCATGCCCACAGAGAGGGCTCTGAGTGCCACCTCTGGCACGCATGCCATAGGTTCACCACCACTGGTATAGGACTAGAATCCAGGAGACTGTAAGTTCTACTCCTCCCTTAGGCATGAAAATTACTTTGGTGATTTTGGGCCAGTCTCTCACTCTCAACTCAACCCATGAGAATATTGTGGGGGGAAAAGCATTATGTATTTTATTTTGAACTGCACAAAGTAAAGGTGGAATACTAGTACTGATTATAGCAACGGGTCAAGCTGTGTGAAGCTTGATTAGCACTTTGAATCAGGCCTGGAAGCTTATTAGCAGCCTGTATAGCTCTGGCAAAATAAGTATTATAGCAACTAGTGCTGGTCAACATGCTGTACAGCAGCTGCCTGTTGTGCCAAGTGTAGCTCCCATAAAAGCAGCTTATAGTAATCTAACTAATAGATAATAACATTGGCAAGTTTTCAGCAAGTAGCAAGTCAAAGTAATTATAGTTTTACTTGTAGATTAATTTTATAGATCTGTAAAAGAATAATATACAGTTTATTGAGGAATTACTATAAATATTAATATTTATGGTTGGAAAAACATAAAACATTTTCTTAACATATTTGTTAAGAGTTAACAAGTAATCAGATTTATTTATTTAAACAACTTGTTTCCCAAAGGAATTATTTATTATAATAGTAACATATTTGTGACAGTATTTTGTTGTCAAGTTCTAAGAATGAAGATTTCAAATCTCTGGAGTCTTGGCTATCTAGAGCCTGGAAAAAAAAACAGTTGGTAGCTTTCTTTCCATTCTCTTAACAAACTGTAAATAGTAGGAATAACGTTTTGAAATCATAATCTGGAGCAGTGGTTCTCAACCTTTCTAATGCCGCGACCCCATAATACAGTTCCCCATGTTGTCGTGACCCCCAACCACTTATACATCACCATGTGCCAGGGGCGTGGCCAAAGAAAAGGGGAAAAAATGGCGGACAGCCTTGTTTGGCGACCCCCGTGAAATGGTCGTTCGACCCCAAATGGGGTCCCGACCCACAGGTTGAGAACCACTGATCTGGAGAAAAAGGCTTACATGGCAATGTAATATAGCTAAGAATTTTACTCGAGAACTGTTTTCCGCCCAAAAGACAGATAAGAGCAATATTTATATGTACAATTGATAAAGGCTAATTCTAAACATAGCAGAATAGTGCTTTCTAAAATCAGCCTATTATGAAACAATTTCACAGTCAGGTTTTGCTAATTTTTACTCCCTAAAATAGAATTAATATAAAGGATTCTAAGTAATGGTATGTAAAGAATGGTTTACTTTCTTTAACTTCTCAGTGCGGAAAAAGTTCCCATTATACAGATGAGGAACTGAG